CAACAACACCTACATTAACCCTCCCTTCATCCCCTTTATCCCTTCCACTCCCTCCTGGATACACACGTGAATCCCTTATGACACAACTATGCCCTCCCCAGATCCTCTACCTCCTGATACCCCTGCTGATACTACACCAACCCTCCGTCCTCTTTATCTCATCCCCTAGCTCCTTCCCCTTCAAATTCCCAAACAGGTACTGTATAAGTTATCACTCATAAATTAACTAAGATATACCTCTCCTATACTGGAATATTATCACAGACCAGACCTCTGTCATATCCTTTCTTCTTATAATCCATCCATTATCTAATTTCTGCTTTGACCTGTTCTTCCTCAGCCGCATACATATCCTTCACTTGATATATTTCCTTTACCTAAACCACCATAACCCATTCACTCATTAACTCCTTTACCCATCTTTAACCTTTCAATATTACTCTGGATAATTGATGCATAGCAACTATCACCTGTCACCACCGTTTACTAAACTTTCCTATAGGGCTATATGACCTTAGATGTCTAACACATTTATTTTGCTTTTAACCATTAACCAATAGCCACTTACACCAAACATGTTGCTTCAACCAAGAAGTAATAGTAATCTAGAGTTTGAATTTTCAGAAGACAGTTACAGTGAGAAACGATGACAAATACAATATTTGAGTGAAAGATTTTGGAAACATTGGTTGGAAGAATATTTGCCTTGTTTGCAAGAGAGGAGTAAACGGTGCTATAAGAAATGTAATTGGAAGTTATATTACTCTCATTGTTGAGGCTAATAATTGGAAAGGATGGACTAGTTAGGTGTTTGAAACTTAGGATCAAAGATGGTTATGTAGAAAAGCCAATTTTCGAACTTTTAGTATTTAAACATGAATCCAAGTGCCTTAAACTTGCCATAATTCTTGATACTGGCATATGTAGAAGGTAACGGCAGGATCTACTACTGTTTGGGGCTGTATCGCAAGCCACTACCTCCATAGCGATATTTCTTTACTTTACTTTCTCTCGTACTACTGTATTTTCCTACTTAGTTATTTCTTAAAACTGTGCAAATAGGATGTGTATATGCATTAAAGTTTTTCTCAAAAATAGTTTTGATTTTATAGCCGGTGCTAAATTATGCACTTTGGAACCTGCTATTTCATGTGACGTACTTATTGTGCTAATAATGTGTGCTAAAATTGTACTGCCATGTATTCTCATTTACTATGTGATAAAGGGAATTTGGGTCTGATTTTGTAAGTAGAACTGCAAAACTAAGAAAGAATATCATTTTATACATTAATCTTTTTTGTGTTAAACATATATTTGAAGCGAGAAGAAATATGTTTATTCTGTTAAGCCTTTTTTCAAAGGATTGGTCTTATTTACAATGTCTGTATATATGTCGTAAATGGGTTACTAGATTTGTGAATTACCTATTTTGTCTAAGGAAAACAGCCTCACACAAGAACTGTTATGCACAGTTTTCATTGATGTTTTTAGAATTCTGGTTCAGATTGCTATACGCTAATTATGATTTGTGAAATTGCCATTATTGCCAATTTGGAGGGGGATGTTACCGTTATAGTAATCCATATTATGTTATATTTTCGCAAGATGCAATGCCATCTTGGATACTTGATATGTTGCATAAATGTTCATGAGATTTATTTTACGTTTTGATAATTTTCGTCATAGAATAAGCCTAATACAGAAACCAATATGTGCTAAAGGTGAAAAGCTTTGCTTTGAAAGATGTATAGGGATAGCAACGCCAAGTTGAGAGAGGCTGTCCGGTTTGTTTTCTGAAGGAAAGTACAGCAGATACCGCTATTTTGCGGGACTGTAAAGAGGAGTGCTTTCCTGAAAATCAACTAATGGTATTGGGAGACTGCCACAATTATTGAGGAGTGGTATGTCCAGTTATCATTCTGGAAAGAATCTAATAGTGTCGATATTTAAAACTTGTTTGTTTGACATACGAAGAAGTGTGAGCATGTGATTTTGGGTATTTAATGGTGGAGATTGAAAGAGAAGGAAATGAAAATAGAATTTAAAGAAAACAAGCTTGAAAAGGTGAGACCGCTGACCTATCTACAAGGAATGGTGGGAAATAAATATTGGAGTGATAAGAGTAGTTGGGGAAAAGGTGCAGGGTAAAGCATCTGGGAAAGCCCCCCCCTGAAAACAGAAAGTTGGTGGTGGAATGAGGAAGTGCAGATGAATGTTAGAGAGAAGAGAGAGGCGAAGAAAATTTGGGAAATGTCAAGATTAGAGCAAGACAAACATAACAATAAACACGCTAATAAGAGAGCAAAAAATGCAGTGGCAAGAGCCAAGGCTATAGCACTGGATGAAATGTACAAAGTTAGAAGAAAAGGGTGGAGAAAGAAAGGCATTGATTGCAAAGGCCCGGGAAAAACAACCAAAGACTACACCCAGATTAGACAGATCAAAGATGGTGCTAAATGAAGAGGAAAAGATCAGGGGCAGATGGAAAAGCTACTTTGAATCCTTGCTGAATGAGGAAAATCCTAAAGCTGTTTTTGAGGATAGAGTTTCAAACTTCGGAGTGACTTGTGATATAAGTAGGCTGGAAGTCAAAGAGGCATTGAGGATGATGAAAAATGTCAAAGTGACAAGACCGGACAACATACCTGCAGAATTTTGGAAGTTTCTAGGGGATGAAGGAATTGATTTGTTGTGGGATTTAATGTCGAAGATCTATGAGGAGGAACAGATCCCAAATGAGTGGAGGGATAGTGACATTATACCTATCTATAAAGAGAAAAGCAATATCCAGGATTGTAGGAATTACAGGGTGATCAAATTAATGCCTCATACCATGAAAATATGTGAGGTGAACGTAGGAAAAGGAAAGAGATTGTCATAAGTTATGGTCAGTTTAGGTTCATGCCGGGAAAAGGAACCATGGATGCAGTGTTTGCGCTAAGGCAATTGATGGAAAGGCATTGGGAAATGACCTGCACATGCTTTTTATAGATCTACAGAAGGCCTAGAGAGTGCCAGAAAAATATGTTCAGATCATCCAGGACATGTATGAAGGTGCTAGAACTCGGGTGAGAACCAGTGTTGGCACAACAGAGTGGACCTCAGTGAGAGTTGGTCTACATCAGGGATCCTCTTGAAGTCCTTATTTGTTCGACCTCATTTTGGATGTATTGGCAGAAGGGGTTAAAGAACAGGCTCCTTGGTGCATGATGTTTGCACTAGTAAAGAGGAGATCGAGCATA